GCACTTAAATTTTCAGAACTATGTGCTAAAAAATATTTTTATTTATTTATAAGTTGTAGTTAAACACAATACCTTTATTTTATTTATTCAGTTTTATGTGGTGCTGAGAATTAAACCCAACTTCTTGCATGTGACAGGTGAGCACTCTACCACTGAGCCACAATGCCAGCCCCTCAGAAAATATTTTTATGCATTTATATCTCTTTTTATACATTGGCCTGTTTCTGGCATTTTGTATAGCATTGTAAAACAGACTAAAAAAGTTCTGTGTCTTATTTCTAAAGAAGACAGGTGAGACTTTGCAATGTATTATCAAAAACTTCTGTAAAAGCTTTAGACTAAGAAATGTTAATGCATTCACTGAGTGATCTTTAGTGAGTGATTAAATATCTGAGTTTAAGGCCTCTTACTATGAGAGTGAGTAGAACATCTAAGATTACAATTTAAAAGCTCTGGGATAGTTTAGATGGTAATGCCTTAGCATTTATGATTTTTTTTTTTTTATGTTTCAAACGTGATATCTTGTATTTCTTATATTCCTCATGGTGCTTAGGTTAATGTATTGCCATTTACTTTGGGACTCAAATATGTGGAATTTATTTTGTTTAGTAAAGCAAAAGCAAGAGTTGTTCCTTGGAATATAGCAAAGACTCTATGAGAATGTTTTTATTTTTAATGGGAAGAATTGTCTCATTGCTACTGATCAGAGGGAATTTACACCTTGATGATACCCATTAATCAGAAATGGTCTGAACTGACTGGATCAAAACCATTAGAAAACCATGAATAAAGAGGCAGATTAAAAAAATAGGTTCATCTAGCATCATTTTGAGTCTCCTATTAGAGTACAAATTACAGTAATTTTTACCAGTGAAAGGACTCAAAAGACATGTAGCTGCATTTTAAGCCTCCTGTTATCACACAAGTCACCATCAATCATAATACCATTGTAGGAAGAGAAATGTAGATCTTCACAGGCAGAAAAATCAAATACAAAAAGTGCAATTTGCCTTATGCAAAAAAAGACCTCGTCATTTATGTCATACTTCTTTTAGTTCCCAGGTTCCATATCTTTGGGCTCAATATATTCAACCAGAAGAAAGTGGATTTGTTTTATGCTAGATGAGTTAAGAACTGGTATAATTAGATTATAGAGAAAACATATTTTGACTTGGGGTTCAGTTGTTTTAAGTATGATGGCTTGCTCAGGAAAGCAATGCAGGAGATTTTGTCCTCCACTTCACCCAAATTGTATGGAAAAAATTATTATTTTTTAAATTAAAAGTGGAAGCCACAGGCAATCTACAGCAGATATTGAAATGTCATGATGAGACACCAAACTGCAGTTGTTTTTCTCATCTTTTTTGTATCATTGGTTGCTGTGGGATTTGATTTCAATGTTTTGAAATATAAAAACTATATTTCAAAATAAACATTTTTTTTTTGTATTTTAAGGTAATTTTAAGGCTCATAGCCTAAGGTCATAGTACACACTATAATTACCTCATATTTTTCTAATGTAATCCCAAGACAAAGGAGTTGGGATATATTTTTCATGAAAAAAAATTTTTTTACTAAGTAAAATTATGTTGTTCCATGTAAAATTATGTTGTTCCATGTATCATACTTTTCTATACAGTATGTTTAGCCTTAAAATTAAAAGAAGTGAATACCTTGATGGGGCTGCCAAAAGATTTATATTATGTTGTCCTGGTGAATATTGTGGCAGAATATATGGAAGATGAACCAGAAGATTTCTGAAATTGTGTATTTTTGTGGCTGGAAACTGTTGAAAGGTGCATCATTGTTATTAATGAAAAAGACTGACTAAAAACAGCAATGTTACTTAAGCTGTACATATAGTGAACAAATTCTTTGTTGAGCAAAAATGCCCTGTGCAGCCAGGGATGGCTGAAATACATTATACTGAGACTCTGGTAATCTCAGTTCTTTTTTTTTTTTTTTAACCTCTAAGTAGTAAATTTTTCTAGCTCAATAAATCTCTCTATTCCTTTTCTTGCTTTTAAAACCAGAGGAGCAATACTTGTCTTTTTTAACTTTCTGAATTGTTTCCCAGTTTCACTGCAATAAAATATGCAGAAAACTTTTGGAAAATATTACAAAGCATACAAATGGAAGTGAATAATCTTTGCTTTTTGTGACTCTTTTTCTTTCAAATGCTGGTCTAGCTCAAAGTGGGTAACTTATATTTCTTCAATTACCTTTAACTGATTATATGTCCATTTTTCCCCTAGCATTTGGAAGCCAAACTTCATCCACTAGTGGTCTCTTGCTTAAGTCTTTACAACATTTTATTTGTATATTGTTGTGTGTTAACCCAATTGATTTTTCTTTTCATTTAGTGTAGTTTCATGTATAATTAAGTTGATATAAATATGTCTATATTGGAGAGTGTACAATGTCCTCAGTTCTTGTTCTTAGGCATATGTTGTTGTAAACTCAGTTCTTCATGAATTATATGTAATGTTAATAAAATTGTGAATGATATTCAATGATTTTTCTATGGATTCTATGTATAAGAAGCCTTTACCCTATTGTAGCTAGTAAGCCAACATTTTATGATAAGAAACATAATCTTTACATACAACCTTCTCAGTTAACCTCTTACTACTTGGTCCACAGAAAATGAGACTATAAAACATAGCTCATTGATTATTTTGTCATAAGTATAAGGCCTCACTCAACCTTGACTCCACATCCATTTCTCTGATTCCTGCCCTGAAATAATACTACCTATAGAATAACAATGTCAGAATTTACTAATGCACATGAAAACACTGATCACTGATCTCATTCACAGAAAAAATGAAATGTTTCCAATGAGGCTGAAGTCTAGAAGGCCATTATGCACACACAAGAAAGATAATGCTCTTCTCTCCTGTAAAAGCTACCTTTAAGTTTGTGGAAATTCAGTCTATTCAAATCCCTAGGAAATGTTAAAATGTTAAAAAGTTAAAATTTATAATTCAAGATATGAAAATCTGGGGCTTATTCCTATATCTATATCCTTCTTTTAACTCTTACTTTCACCATAAATACAAACAGAAAAAAATAATGATCTGACTTATGCAAATTGTATTCCACATTAAGTTTGATTAAAATCTGTAAAAGTATTAAGAGAAGCTAGAGTATTATTTACTCAATAGTATGTTTTACTGTTACATAGCCCCGCCTCCCCCCCCCCACCAGGTCCACCAGTGGTCTCAATGTGAATTCTGCCTGCATGACTTACTCGTTTGACTTGGTTTGGTGCGGGACTTGGACCACCGCTACTGGACATTCGACGCCCGCCGACGCATTGAGCTCTACCTACTGAGGTATATTCACAGCCCAGCCCTAGATGATTGGTTTTCTTTTTTCCTTTATGGGGGGGGGCGAACATTTAGTCAAGTGGAACACTGTGATGTCTGCCATTCAACAACAGGATGCAATACATGAGTGTTAACATATAAATATTCAGTTATAAACACATATTGTCTACATAAGGTAAATATAGGTTTAAAAAATGCACTGTAAACCTGGCATGATGGTCCATGCTTGTAATCCAAGCAAATTGGGAAGTTGAGTAGTTTCAAAAGTTTAAATTCAGTCTCAGCAACTTAGTGTGGTTTCAAGCAACTTAGACAGTCTCAAAATTTGAAAGAGTGGAGAGGGCTTAGGAATGTGGCTCAGTGTTTAAATATACCTAAATTTAAACTGAAATTTAAAAAAAAGTTTAAAATATTACACTTCAGTATTAAACATCAAAAATAGATTTCATATAATTCTTTTCTCAGTATTCAAAAGTGAAAATAGTAAATACTGATTTAGAAAAAACAATTATATTCTTTCAAAGATGAGGTTTCTTCACTATTCATGTGTGGTATTTATGACTGATATTTCTATAAAATAAGTTGATAATGCTTAATAAATTTAAGCAAAAGGTAAAGACAACTACTTATTTTCTAAACTTAAATGAGTTCTGTATTTTACTGATCCTCATATATATCAAGGTGTAATGTATAGATAATAACTTTACTCTCACATTTATTATAAATGTTTCATTGTTATATAAGGCATACATTTTGGACAAAATCTGTTCAATGTTCACTACTAGTATGAGTTTTCAGATGTTCAATGAATTTAAAATTTAAATACGTTTTGGAAATATTATTTAACTTTTTAGGGTTTCTGGGCACAATGAATTCTCCAAAAATAAGCAGTGTTTAAGAAACATGTGGCTACAATTTTTTTTCCCATTTGTATTTTCTCTAACCAGTATGTATCCACAGGTACTGAGTATTGGTGAATAAATTTTGGAGGCATTGTCAATTTTCACATTTCAAAACTTTCTCTATTCTATGGTTATTGTGGTGATGATTACATGTTGTCCCTTTCATAGAGTAGTGGTCTCATTTGTAGAGCTTCTCTCCAGTGTTTTCTCTGATGTCTAGTAATATATGATATATAACTTAAAATGTTTCTATCCTCCACATTTACATGTCTCCTTTCCAGAATAAATAGCCTAGTGGCGATAAGAATTGATTTCTTATTAAGAGATTTGCTGCATTGTTTTAATTTGTAGGGGTACTTTTCTGAATAAATTCTGTTGTTAATAAGGTTTAGTCTTTTTTTTAATGTTTATTTTTTAGTTTTAGTTGGACAAAATACCTTTATTTCACTTATTTATTTTTATGTGGTACTGAGGATTGAACCAGGATCTCACAAATTTGAGGCTAGCACTCTACCACTAAACCACAACCCCAGCCCCAAGGTTTTGTTTTTCTTTAAAAGTTATTATCACTTTATTCACATTTCACATTCACCAGGATGTCTTCTGCTGTGGTGAATAAAGTTTTATTTTTTATGAAAAGTGTTGCCACATTATTTACATTTGTAGGGCTATTCTTCAGTGTTAGTTCTGTTATGGTGAATAAGGCCTGTTTTATTACTAAAAGCTTTGCCACATTTCTTATATTTGTAAGGCTTCTCTCCAGTGTGAGTTCTGTTGTGGCAAATGAGGTGTGATTTTTGACTGAACGCTTTGCCACATTCTTTGCATTTGTAAGACTTCTCTCTACTTTGAGTTCTGCTGTGGCAAATAAAGCCTGTTTTCTGAGTAAAAGCTTTGCCACATTCTTTACATTTTTAGGGCTTCTCTCCAGTGACTTCTGTTGTGGCGAATAAGGCCTACTTTTTGACCAAAAGCTTTGCCACATTCTGTACATTTGTAGGGCTTCTCTCCACTGTGAGTTCTGCTGTGGTGAATAAGGTTTGATTTGGCAACAAAAGCTTTGCCACATTCTGTACATTTGTAGGGCTTCTCTCCACTGTGAGTTCTTCTGTGGTTAACAAGGTGTGATTGGTGACCAAAAGCTTTGCCACATTCTGTACATTTGTAGGGCTTCTCTCCAGTGTGAGTTCTTCTGTGGCAAATAAGCTGTGATTTGTGACCAAAAGCTTTGCTACATTCTGTACATTTGTAGGGCTTCTCTCCAGTGTGAGTTCTGCTGTGGTAAATAAGGTACGATTTTCGACCAAAAGCTTTGCCACAATCTTTACATTTATAGGGCTTCTCTCCAGTGTGAGTTATGCTGTGGTTATCAAGGTGTGTTTTGTGACGAAAAGCTTTGCCACAATCTTTACATTTATATGACATCTCCCCAGTGTGACTTCTGCTGTGGTAAATAAGGCCTTCTTTTAGACTGAAAGCTTTGCCACATTCTTTACATTTGTAGGGCTTCTCTCCAGTGTGAGTTCTTCTGTGGCAAACAAGGTATGATATTCGACTGAAAGTTTTGCCACATTCTTTACATTTGTAGGGCTTCTCTCCTGTATGAGTTCTCCTGTGGCGAATAAGGTGTGATTTTCGACCAAAAGCTTTGCCACATTCTTTACATTTGTAGGGCTTCTCTCCAGTGTGACTTCTTCTGTGGAAAATTAGGGGTGATTTTTGACTGAAAGCTTTGCCACATTCTTTACATTTGTAGGGCTTCTCTCCAGTGTGAGTTCTCTTGTGGCAAATAAGGTTTGATTTTCGACCAAAAGCTTTGCCACAATTTTTACATTTGTAGGGCTTCTCTCCAGAGTGAGTTCTGCTGTGGCAAATTAGGATCGATTTTAGACTGAAAGCTTTGCCACATTCTTTACATTTGTAAGGCTTCTCTCCAGTGTGAGTTCTGATGTGACAAGTAAGGTGTGATTTTCGACTGAAAGCTTTGCCACATTCTGTACATTTGTAGGGCTTCTCTCCAGTGTGAGTTCTCCTGTGGCAATTAAGGTGTGATTTTTGACCAAAAGCTTTGCCACATTCTTTACATTTGTAGAGCTTTTCTCCATTGTGGGTTCCTCTGTGGTAAATAAGACCTTTTTTTTTACTAAAAGCTTTGCAACATTTTTCATATATGTAGGACTTCTCTCCAGTATAAATTCTCTGGTGGTGAACAAGGCCTGATTTTTTATATGATTTCTGGTGTAAACTCTCACTTGTAGTTTTCCATATTTTCTTTTGTTGTAAACAGTCAAGATCACAACTTCTATATTTTGCACTTATCACTTCATGAAATATATGTTTTAGGCCCTTTTCTGGTGAATATTCTTGGGTGTGATTAAAAGCCATGGCTGAAAGAAACAAAATTTAAAAAACCCACAATACCTATTAGACTGGTATAAAAATATTGTGCATACATAACATGAAATTAAGGTAAAATAAGTGCATCAGGAGTGTAGCAGATTAGTAAGTCCAAAGTCACCATAAATCCAAAAAAATATATTACTTGAATAAAAATGTACAGACAAAATTACCTTGAGAATATTACCCAAATTCTTGTAGAGACCACAGTATCCAAGAGGAGTACATCATTAAGAGTAATATAATAGGGGCTGGGGTTGTGGCTCAAGCGGTAGCGCGCTCGCCTGGCATGCGTGCGGCCCGGGTTCGATCCTCAGCACCACATACCAACAAAGATGTTGTGTCCACCGAGAACTAAAAAATAAATATTAAAAATTCTCTCTGTCTCTCTCTCCCCCCTCTCACTCTCTCAAAAAAAAAAAACAGTAATATAATAAAGTGTAGTTAACAGCCTTTTGTCCTTCATAAGATAGTATTGTGTATTTAAGAAATATCTACCAGCTACCTTCACTGTCAGTAGAATAAGAGAAATGTAAAACATATACAAACATTTCTGGCTTTTTCAAAGAGTGTCCAAAAAATGGTTTTTGTCTACCGTGACATAGAGACATGAAAATAACTAGTAGATTTTGAGTGAGAATACCATAAATATTCAACAAGGGTAAAGAGGCAATGGGCTCTTAAAAAAAGAAATATGAACAAAAAATTTACTAAGAAATATACACATATATGTCTATGAAATTTTTCATAAAAAACATTTTAAAAGAGTATAAAAACCTTGCATAGCCTATGGCGATAATACTTGGATGAATTCAACACATGACCAGTAGGGATAATAAATTGATTTTTATATTTTTACATTGGTGTGATATGAGAATTTTCCTTATAGACAAATACAAATTTGTTTATTTATAAATATCATGGTATTTTATACTATATATACAAGGTAAAATGACTAAATAGAATGAATTAACATAATTATTATTTCATATAATTATCAGTTTTGTTCTTACAAGGTATTGTATTCCTTCTACTAGTATTTCTGAAGAACATAATACACTCACTATGTGGTAAAATAAAACTCTTAACCCTATTATGCTCAATAAAATAAAAATATGGAGACTTTGACTATAATATCAGCCTTAAACAAAACACAGTACCTGGTGAGCAAAATGTTGCTCACTAAATTTCTGACTTCCACATGTGAATCAAATGCATCTAAAACTTAATATCTGCCTGCCACCTTTCATTTAACTGAAAGTCCTGCATATATTTCTTATAACACTTTAAGAGACAAAATATTTTATAACTAAATCATAATAGTATATAAGTACATACTTTTACACATTTGACATTGATGGGCACACACATTGAGTCCCTAGCTTTAATACTGAGAAAAATATTTGCACTAAACATAAAAGCAGAGGTATCTCTTCAATTTTCAGACTTAATTGTTCATGGATACATATTTAGTACTGGCAATTCTGGGTCTTTAGGTCATCCAACTTTTAATGTTTCATGTGTAATGCTTGAGATTACTCCAAAAATTCTGTATCACGAACTACAATACAAGTCTTTTTAAAATTATTTAAGCCATGCTGTTTCTAAATTTCTGTGACTTCTCTCAAACATGAAGTACTTTGCATGGCCTCCCAATTAGCAAATATTAAAAGGATGCAGCACGGTTCTTGCCTATTTTTATTTATTTAAAAGTTTTTATACTTTTTTCCCCAAAAAATGAACTATATAATCTACTGATGGCTCCTTTAATGAACAAATAAAAAATAGTACAGCAAATATAAACAAAGAGAAGCATGGCTAAATCCAAATGACAAAAAAAGAAAAAAAAAACATTAAGAATTTAACATTGCGATACTGACAGTTATGAATTACTCAAAAAACACTAAATAACTATTTTAAAAAGTTTAGAGAGTGAAATTGAAAAATATTAACATCAATGAGCACAATGTTTATGTGAATAATTCTTTAAGAAAAAAATGAGAGGGGCATTCCTAGTGTGCAAATCTGAAACTCTACCAATATGGGAGAGGCTTATCAAGCAGTACCAAGTTTAAGACAAGTCTAAGCAACTTGTAAAATACTGTAAAAATTAAAAATCTATAGGATATATATCTATAGAATATATAAAGAGAAGTGAGATATATATATATATATATATATATATATATTACACACACACACACACTGTGTTTTGTGTAGGATGGATATTATAGTAAAAGACTCTCTCTCTCTCTCTCTCTCTCTCTCTCTCTCTATATATATATATATATATATATATATATATATATATAAAGTGTGAAAAGAATCCAAGCATGCCACAATAAAAAAAACAATGATCCAGAAATTAAATCAGTAATGAAAATAGAAAAAAACAAAAAACATAAAAAAATTACAAAGTAGAAGTATAATGATTTACTCACTTCAAAATATTTATGATTACTAATGCATTATTGCAAAACACAAAACAAAAGAAAAAATCTTACTACCAGAATTGAATCTAAAAAAAGAAAATGTCAAGTCAGTTCCAGCAGAGAGCAAGGAAAGAAACCAAGCATGATCTGCTCCTAGAGGCCCTATTTGTTTAAAGGTGGATAATGCCCCTCCCTTTACATCTCATCCTTTTGCACAATTTTGAATAAATAAGACACAGTTTTAAATCATGAAATTTCTCATAATCCTTTTGGACAAGCTTTTGTTGAGTGATATCCTAATACTTGCCTTTTAAAACAGAAACAAAAATCTAGCCTCTCTCATATTAATATGCATTAAATATTGTTTTATTTACAGTTAATGTGACAATATACAACATAAAGTAAATACTCAAAATTGGTCATCTGAATTGAATAGACATTTCATTCTCAAACAGCCATTACCAAAAAAATTATGTAATATATGAGGTTCCACCTCATCAGCTTGACAAGATCCTATGCCTTTGATCACATGAGGAAAAGCATAGAGTGCTACACTTATGCCAACATGTCCTGTTTGGACTCTAGCTTCATATATGAAAAATAGCAATTATAAATGAACATCAGGGACTTCACAAGCTGATTTCCAAGTTTCATTTAACCCTGGATGAGAAGAGTCCATCCAAACAAGAGAATAATCATTCTCCTCAAAAGAGGAGATATATTAAAAGAGAACCCCAAGATACTTGAATTCTAGTTGCTTGGGGGGTATAAAACCATTAACAGCCTCAGCTCAACAGGTGTTGGCTAAAATGGGGTTAGAATGTACTCTAGATAATTTTGTTACCTCTTTGATTGCTAAACTCACACAAAACTCTGTAAATGCTTTAGTCTTAATAACAATGTTGCTCTGTTTTTTGTACACCAGCTGTGAGAAATTCAGTACTGTCAGATCCTGGACTTCTAGAACCCATTACAATATCTTGACTCACTTGCATGAAATTGTTATATACCTGTAAAAATGTCTCATGGTATTCATTGTTGTCTTAGCAGAATAATGTGTCCTTACCATCCACATAGTATTTAATAGGTCACCATCCTGTGGAATTTATTCATAAAAGGTCTATTGCTCTTGATAAAAACTGTAATGATTCAGTAGTTGTGCAAACTACTATGAAACTCGCCTATGCTATCATAAACAGTATTAATCATGCCTCCATGGATGTAAATAGGATTAATGAAGAAAAAAAGGAACATTGTCAAGCCATACTTGACAATCATGCTGCAATTGATTGTGTTATTGTTACATCATAAAGGATATCAGAAGTTTAATAACGTGTTCCTTCAATTTAAGTTATAATAGTAATTTTATTTCAAAAGACTTAGAGTACCTTAAAGATATAATTAATAAGGTTCAACAAGATGATGGATGTTTAGACTTGTTGGAATAACTAACTTCATGTTTACTCAATTTCATCTGGGTCAAAAATATTCATAGGTGGATGTTCACTGATGTTGGAACTTGCTGTTGTCTATGCCTGCCCTATTTTTTGCCCCCACCAGCATTAAGGAGATAAGTAATATTATTTATTCAAAAGGCCTTTAAAAAGAGGGGAGGTATTAGGTATTCTGACCTTGGAAATAGACAGGAAAGTGTGGAAGTGATGGTAACTGGCACCCTGAGTCCCACAATTGTAATGCCCAGCAGTTTCTCCCTGAAGCTATTAAGTCAACTCTACAGATGCACTATCTAGTTCCTGTGGTAATGTCCTCAGGGAGAAGGGGCTCTTTATTTGTATTAACTGTACCCAATCTTGGTTATCTAGCACTTGGGGTTAAAGAATCACTGGGTTAGAATGTAGTCATGATATCAGAAGCTATGTAATTTTGGGGTATTATATGTGCAGCTGTTAAGAGGGGTGGCCAGTTTTTTTTTTTCTTTTTTCCCTTTCACTGTGTGTGTCTCTCTCTCTTCCGTTTTCTTCTTTAAAGGCTTCCTCACAAGATGATTTGAAACAGATCATGCTGTCCCTCACAACAAAAGGTTTTGGTGGTTAATCTGAATAAATTGGGACATCACTAAAGAAGAAAATAGAGAACAAAGAATTTGAAAATGTGATAAATATAGGGCAGTATGTACTCAATGATTACAATAAAAATAAATAAACCTAAGCTTCTGAAAATTTCTTCTGCTGGATAACTACTCTTTCAACATTTTTTAGTTTAGTTTTCTCCTTGACATTTGAATGACTCAACTGTGTCCCCTGCTAGGTGTAGTCTACAATAGTTTACATCAATAAATTATACTAGGTACTACTTATCTAAAGTGAAGGATGTATAACACAAAGAAAGAGACAGATTAAAGAATAAAATTCTAGAGAGAGAGAGAGAGAGAGAGAGAAATATCTGTATAAAAATGCCCTTTTTCTTTGAAACAAAAATTTGAAACTCATTCTTATTGAAAAGTTCCCAGAAGATACTCTGCAACAGAAGTAAATTAAATAATAGTTATTAATTAAAAATTTTAAAGGGAAATTAAACTTACCCAGGAAGGCCAAGTTTCTATAGTTCTCTAGCATCACATCTCTATATAAATTTTTCTGAGCAGGCTGAAGGCATTCCCACTCCTCTTCAGTAAAATCAATGGCTACATCCCTGAATGTTAACAGTTCCTAAAATAAGAATAGGCAAATAAATAACACATTGACCACATGAACATTTGCAAAGTCTGTAATGTAATTGAAGTTGAAATGAGAGTTAGTAGACTATCATGTAGGTGGTGTTTTGGAACACCATGATACTATTATCTACTTCTGCAGAAAAAGTGATTTAAGTTCAAAAAAGTATATATACTCCACATTTATGAAACATAATATAAAACTCAGGCATTACTCTAAAATCATATATTTTCTAATTTTTTATATCATGATCTAAATTATGTATAATATTCAGATGAGAATATTATGGCAATTAAGAAAGGGAATCCTCAAATTCTAATTGTACAACCACTAATCAGACATTTACTAATGTGTAGAATCTTATTTGTTATTTCTCTGATAGAGTTGGCTGTTCTGAATGTGTAGTGAGATCTCTAGTAATTCCAATACCAATGGTATAAGAGAAATTTTGAAATGTAACAAGGTAGACAGACCACTTAATGGATATATTTAATAGTTTATTTAAGTTCAAACATTTTATAGTATTTATGTATGTTATTAATATAAAAATAGCAACAACAATCCTGTTTGAATTTTCCTTTTTATAATTTAACATTTTTAACATACTATATATATATGAACTTTATATATATATAAAGTTCATATATATATAAACTTTGATTGATGTTTATATTGTATGATATTTATATAGAATATACATATAGCTCTTCAAACAAATATAATTTGTTTTTTAATTTATTGGTTCTTTCCAGTTCTACTTGACAGTAAAATCGATTTTTATGGTATTATGCAAGCATGGGATATATCTTATCCTAATAAAAATTCTATTCTTGTTGGTGGATACAATGGTAGGATTCACTTAGAGATATATATTTTATATTTCTATCCCTGTCCCTTTTATTTATTCATTTATTTATTTTTTGTTTACTATTGTGCAACCTACTGATCTTCTTTTCTTTCCCTTTCCCACTTTATGAGCTTTAGATTTCACATAACAGCAAAAACTTTCAACCTTTGGTTTTAAAGAAATGGCTTTGGTTTTAAAGAAATGGTTTGTTTTACATAGCATAAAATCTCCAGATTCATCCATTTCCTGGAAAATGTCATAAAGTCATTTTTCTTTATGGCTGATTCATAGTTTATTGTGTACATAAGCAACAGTTTTTTATCCTGTCATCATTGAATGGACTAATTCATCATTGAATGGTTGGTTTTATAGCTTAGCTATTGTGAATTGTGCTGCTATAAACATTAATGTGACTGTGTCAATGTAGTATGCTGATTTTATGTCCTTTTGGGCATATACAGTGCAGTTGAAAAACTGGGTAAAATTGTGGTTCCATTTCTTTAACAATATCCATACAGGTTATTATGTTTCACTTAGACCTCCATACAGCTGCAAAAATTGTAATTCGTCTATACCTGAGGTGAAATAAAACATACAAAAAATTAGTAATTCACAAAATGATTAGAATTTATTATTGAATTATTCTTCCCAATAAAAAGTAAAATTTAAAAACTAAAAGTAAAGAAAGTCTTAAGAAAAAGAGCAAAATTAGAAGCTATTAAAGATAAACATAACACAGAGTTACCAATATCAATGTTGGTGCTTTTAAAAAAAAAAGCAAATGAGCCGAGTCTAGTGATGGACAACTGTAGTTCCAGTGACTGAGGAGGATAAGAAAAAAGGATCATAAATTCTAAGACAATATTATATATAATACTGTCTTATATATATTGTATTGAGCAACTTAGTGAGGCACTTAGCAACTCTGTCTCTAAATAAAATATTAAAAAAAGGACTGAGGATTGGCTTTATTGTTAAGCACCCCTGGGTTCAATATTCAGTACAAAAAAAAAAAAAAAGCAGATACAATTAGAAAAGAAAGCACTAGCAAATTTGAAAATTCAACAAATAAAAATTATATCAATTATACAGTGTATAATTGCAAATATAGGCATATATAATGATTTCTCGCTTTATGGAAATACACTCTGGAAAATTTATCCTAAGAATCTTGTGCAATTTTCCAATTCTCTGAGTGCAATGACAGAATCTACATGGTATAGACTAGTACATGGCTAAGATATTTGCTAGATCCATGGTTGTATATAAAGTCTACTGTTGACCAAAATACCATGATGCCACACGATTGATGTTATGAAGTAAAATCAATCAGGGTAAACCTCATAATAAAATAAATGGTGGAACTACAGTAAACACCAACAACAAAACTCTTAAAACTTGCTAGGATATTGGGAAAACAGTGTAATAATAAAATGCTATTTTATCCCTTCACTCATAAAACATAACAACATATTTTGACATGCTAAATGGTGAATATAAGTTATTAATAAATAATACTGAAATATATAAGAAAGTACAAAGCACAAAAGTTTACATACAAAAGATAGGGTTCATATGGTGGTTCACACCTGAAATATCTACTATTCTGGAGTCTAAGGCATGAAGTTCAAAATTTAAGGCTAACTGAAGAAATTAAGCAAACCCCATCTAGAAATAAAATTTAAAACAGAGCTGAGCATATGCTCAGCATTAAGACATTTTGGTTGAATCCCTAATATCACAAAAGAAAAAAATAGTTTTTGTTTTCAAAATTATAGAATATAATAGGCTTAAACTTATGAATTACAAAATATTAATACAAAAAAATATATTCATCAAGTGATTACATTAAAAGGTGCAAAACTGACAATGTAATAAAAAACCCTATTTTCCTCACATATAATCAAATGCTTATAAGAAGAAGAAATAATACAGATTGCAAAAGAAAAACAGAAAAAGTTCTTTAAGAGTTACTTTAAAAAGGATATATCTAAGTGTTCAATAATCATAAAAACTCAAAATCTTTAGAAATTAGGTAATATTGAATAAAATCACATCATATAGATGAATTAAATAGTATTGATGAATATGTGGAATAAATGTATTCACAAAAGAGAAAAATAATAATTAAGCTTTTATTACCTACTTGTAGAAACTGTTTTGTAATAAAATGTATATGATACACCCACACAGGAAACAGAGACTAAAATTACAGCAACTGTACATGAGAATATAGCCATATTCTTCCAGAGGTGAAACCAAGGGGCATGGCTAAAGAGAAAGAAATAATTCTTAAATTTTGTAAAATGTAAATTCTAGGAGCTAGAATTTTTGTTGATGTATTATATCCAGTTTGAAAAATACTATAAAATACCATGTATGTTTTATGCTGATGTCACATGAATGTTGCATTTCATATGCAAGTATGTTTACAAAAGGAATATGCAGTATTTGAGAAAATAAAAATACAGAAAAGAACATAAAAGACTCAAATATTCAACATATTTAAAAGGATAAAACTATTATAAAAATGATCATTTTCCCCAAGGTACCCTTTAATAATAACTGGTCAAAATTTTACCATTCTTTACTTTTTGTTAAAGAAGAAATCAAAGCAAAAACTTCTAAAATTTTCCTGGAAAGATAAATGTATATTAAATTAGGCAAGAACTCTCTCATATATAAGAGCAAATGTGGGCTGGGGATGTGGCTCAAGCGGTAGTGTGCTTGACTGGCATGCATGTGGCCCGGGTTCAATCCTCAGCACCACATACAAACAAAGATGTTGTGTCCACTGAAAACTGAAAAATAAATATTAAAAAAAAAAGAGCAAATGTACTAGTGATCATTACCTGACACTAATGCATGTTATAATATTACAAGAGTGTAGTAATTTTAAGATAAACAAATCACAATACAGAAAAGTACATAGGGCAATTCATATGTATGCAAATATCTTTTTATTGTTAATTATTATAAGTATATAAATCAAAACACATCAATAAAATATTTAATGTGAGTGAATGCTACAATCCAACCTCAAGGTAGATGTTAGAATAAAAGGCATAGATCACAAGAAGGGACTTGTGTGTGGAATGTGTGTGACATTGGAATTATACACAAGCATCCACCATCAAACAGCAGATATAAAGAGAGATAATTAAAAAAAAATAAAATAAAAATAAATAAAAGCAGAATATAAATCTCCCTCCATTTATGGATACACCAAATAAATATATACTCCTGTTTTGAGTCGTTCTTAAAACTGTAAAGAAATTAGAGGCACACACATTGGAAAACTGGAAAAAAAAAATATCTACCAAGAGATGAGTAAAATGCACTTGAAGATTTTCCTGATTTGAGCAATATGCAAAATTACTGGAACAAAATGCCCAAATCCAGTGTTAATATAAATAAAGGAAGATTGATTTGAGTTTGAAATATATTATTTAACTCTAAATTGCCTGTAGTTTGAATGCTAATTTATCTGTACACACAGAGGAAGAAATAAGATATACATGAGTATCAACTCCAGGGGGGAAAAATAAGTGGTTTTCTATAGCCATGCAAGATCCATGGGCTTTATTCCATTAGACAAGAGTGGAAGAGGTGTTAAATCTTAGGGGAATCCCTTAATCCTTTAGAGGGATTTGCCAACATTCTCTAAAAATGCAAATAGCTGTTGCTGACAGTTGAACTTTTATCTAGACAGTACCAAAAAAATTAACAGGGAAATACAGACCACCACTGAAATCCAAAGTGGCAGTTTAGCACTTCCTGAGCTCTCGCACCCAGCTCACGTTACTAATAACACCAGACCTAACCAATTCTTTCTGTAAGTAATTTGTCCTGATATTAACTTTTTCCATTCAATGGACTATATCTGAAACCTCAAAGCATTGAAAGCACTGGTAACTGTGCAGGTGCAAATCTCCCTTGATCAAAAAGGAGTGTTTTCACATTGGTGTGCAAACATTGTAATGGGCTAAAATCTCTAATATTAGTGAAGAAAAATGGTTACAATCACAGATCCCTCTTTATTTCTAAAATAGGTGTACATCAATTTTTTTTTCCAGTGAGCATAAGGCACCCTGGAATTTAAAAAGCTTGCATCAGAATTTTAGTGCACCAGCCAACTATAAGATCTTCTGCAGCTTGAGAACAGAT